AGTTCTAACATAAGATTATAATCAAGATTATCAACTTCATATATATACACATCTTCATATTAATGTTCTTCTACATGTATGATTAACTTTATCATGTAACAGATATAAATATCTTTTGAGTCATTAAATTCTTTAAGAAGTCAGAATTTTAATAAGAGAATACACTGAAGATTGTAACATCTTATAACTTAAGATTTAATCATTGTATAATAACATAGACTGCTGTCTATCATAGCTTTCATATTATACATATTATCAATCACAGTAGATATAAGAATTATGTTCATTGTTATTTTCTCTTTAAATCATTGTTATTCAATCTCTTCAAGCTTCTGTTTATAAATTTAAATAGAAGCTAATCTTTTCCCTGTTTCATCAGAGTATTCTCATAGTTATCTTCAAAATCCTTCTCTAATATAATATGATTGATATGAACAGGCACTGATTCATTCTTTGAGTGAGAAGGCACATAGACTGATCAACAGTTGAAAGCAACATGCTCTGATCAGTTACAGTTGATGTACACTTCTCATTGACATTGATCAGTGACTTCTTCAGAAGTGATCTTAGAAACTTGAAAGTCTGTTCAGACAGTGAAGACTCTTGCTTATGTATAGACATTCAAGTCTACTCAATTCATAGCATCTGCATCATTGTTCTTCTTCAGTGTGAGTGTATGAGTGACTGAAGTATAACATCTTCTATCACTGTTCTATATACTCTTGAGCTTGATAAGATGATTGTTCAATGTTCAGAGCTGTGTGTAGAAGCCTTTATAAGTCTGATCTTTGTCTATACTTATAAGAGTCTGTAAGAGTTTGAAAGTTAATATCTTCTTAAGCATGCTAATCTTCATTTAATTCTCTCAAGATTAATTATCTACTTCTAGAATCTTGATGTTAAAGTCAGAGATAAATGTTGTAAGAGAAGTGTTTCTCTGTCAGATACTCTGTAATCAATCTAATACTTTCTATTGTATAGTAGTGTCTCAGAACAGAATATCAAGATATTTGATAATATTATCAGATGTTTATAACACTGATTTACATGCTTTCATTCATGAATAGAACTTCTGTTTCATATAATTCTTTAATCATTTATTAATATATCAATCTTGATTGATTAATGAACTGATGACATCTTCATCTACACTCAGTTTTGTAAGCATTTTCATTTGTCATGATGAGTAGAGAGGGAGATTGAAAGTATTGAAATATACAAAAGTATCTAAGCATTCTTTCAGTGCTTTTATATTCAATTCTGTAGATGTTGAAATCACATGAGTTCTTTGTTGAATTAATTGTTGAATCTCTTTGTATTGAAGTTATTGAGTTACATGCATCTCTGCTATCTGTTGCTGTTATAATTTCAATATTACTTAAAGTCACTGTGATATTACTTCTATACTCATGTTCAAGAGTTCTCTTATATTGTTGTTAGATATGTCATTCTTTGAGTGTATGATATCTGTTAAATCTTGAAGAAGTGTAATTGTATGAATATCTCATATATCTGAGTGTCAGAACTCTCAGGTCTTTTGCTAATAGTCTCTTATAAAATCTTACTCTCTTTGTAAGATCTTGTTACAGAGTCAGAGTAACTGATAAGCAAGCTTCTATCTGAGAACTCAGTATCTGTTTAACTATTAAACTATTTCTCTATTTCTTACACAGTATTACACATTTAGATATCTCAGTGAGTAATTATTTCTAATGAGGAGATGATATATGAATAATCATTTCTAATAAGAAGATAATGAATATTTTTCAAGTGTAAGAGGCCTACACTGAATAGATCAGTATAATATTTATAGGTCTTATATAACAAAGTGAAAAATGTTAGAGAAGGAAACAAAGAGAAAGTGTGAGAATCAGTGATTGAAGTGAATATTTATACACATATGTAGTGGTGTACACGGTGGAACTTCGGGGCGGAAGAATAGGAATTCTGTAGATTTTCAGCCGAGGATCAGTGACTGAGAATTGGAGCGGTAGGAATCTGTGAAGTGTAATGAAATAGTCTATATGATTGATTGAACACAGTCAGTCACATAACATGAGATAACATTTCTAGAGTCTTTTTAATATCAGTCAGACTGATAAAGTAGATTCTCATATAATTCTGCTATTAATGATCTTGTCAGTGATTCTATCAGTGACTTCTTTTTCAGAGTATTTTATAAGTATTAACAGAGATATGTGTCAGGTTCATAGTCTTGTAAATACCATCTTTATGAATTTTATCATTGTTAGAGAATATTAAGCTTCTGTTTTAAGTATTTAATAAGATACCTTGTTCAGATAGTCAGACAAGTTTTAATATAATGTTATAATCAAGATTTAACTTTATATGTATAGATATCTTCATTTTAATGTTGTTTAACATCTATATTTAGTTTCATTATATAACAGATGTAAATGTCTTTTGAATCATCAAATCCTGCAAAAAGTCAGCGTTTTGATAATTATTATTATTATTATTCTTTCATTATACTTATATGCAAGCACAGCTTATGATGAGTCCTTGCATGCTGTTAAATACAGGTCAAGTGTTGGTTATACAGGAGGAAATACAGGTGTTGAGACCATGCCAAGATAATAAGAACATAGGAAAATACAAAGAAGTAACAATTAGATACATGCAATAATAACTTCTTAGCCCAGGAACATAGAGTGATTTATTGAAGTGATTTGTACACCTCTGTATTTATTAGAAACCTGAGGTGCTTGAGTTCTGGATTTAATGTATCCCCTGCGGGTTTCAAACCCACACACCTTGGTTTCCCATGCCAAGGCGCTACTGAGTGGCCGCATTAATCATTCAGCCACCAGGGCCAGAGTTTTGATAAGAGAATATACTAATGATTATGATGTCTTACACAAGCGCTCCACCACGAACTCGCTCAATTTTTCGAATAAGAACCCGCCGATAGATCCATCGAAAAGCCCTCGATCATACGAGCATTGTGACCCCATCGCCGACCGCATACCCCGTGTGGTGGTGGAGTTATCCAGCCAAACGTGAACCAGATGTTGTTCAAAACTCCTGTGTGGGATTATCCCCCATTCTCTCCTACCACACCACAAACCCGGGCCAAATTGCCATACAAATTGTAAGGTGAAGAGACCTAGCCATATGCACCAATCTTCTTGATTTTGGAAGATCCCTGATCTGTAGTTGTGAAGATATCTGAGAAGTGATCTCTGTGAAAACCCTGTCCATCTTTGATGTTCCAAAACATCAATGCCAAGTTCCACCCTCATACCACCCTTCCTAATCTGGCCCATCCCCGGCAGAAAAATACAAAAAGATACCTCAGTGATAATATCAAGCATATAATCAACAGCCACTTCTGAAGTGCCACCTCTGTGGTCTGTCTTCAGTGTATCTAGACATCAATGCCAACTCTCACCCTTGTATCACCCCTCTCAATCTGGCCCATCCCCGGCAGAAAAGTACAAAAAGATACCTCAGCAACTGTATTTGATACATAATCAGCAGACACAACAACTATAAAATTAGTATATCTCAAGGTCTGACTGAGCCTTTGATCCCTGCACAGTGAGATATATTAAATCTAGTTTTAATATCTCAATATTTAATAGATTCTGCAAGGAATTGAGAACAGCAATACTAGATTTCTATTGAATTTAAGAATTAACTCTATATTAATATAATCATTGATAAAGTCTTCTATTTTGAGATATAAATAACCAGTTCCTCTACATCTCACTGACAATATTTATATTATTATATAGAAATAGACAATATCAAGACTCTAAAGAGGAAATGTCTTGATAGAGAATATACAGTAGTGCATATCTTAGCAGTTTCTATCTCATTCTTCTGCAGCAGTTAATGCAAAAAAAAAAAAAAGATCTTAGAAATAGTTTTTTACTTCTCTTAAAAAAGTAAGATGTTTTTCTCTGAGTTTTATACAATATTCTTATAAAGAATTAAAAACAGAGCTGTTTTCTGTCATAATTTTATATTCTTTTAAGTAAGAATTACTTTTTCAGTGACTGAAGAGCTATATTAATACTTAATTCTTTTTTACACTCTTTATAACTCATTTGAGTTGCACACTGTATGTGAGAGATGATGATTTAGAATAAAATAGAATAAAAT